ATTGTAAAAAATATTGGTGAATTCTCGCAGAAAAAAAAACTTGATAATCATAATTTATTATAATTCAGTAAATAAAATTTACTGTGGTGAATTGCATCAAACTTTATCATAAATCTATTTTTAAATTTGATGCAAATAAAACATCAAAACTTTTAATAACGCCATTGGTAAATTCTGGACAAACTTATAACATTTAAAACTGAATAGAAAATTGATTATAATTTATTTGTAAAATATCTTCCAGAGTTTTAAATTAAATACCAATAGTCTTAATTTTAATTATCTCTGATAATTGTCTATTAATTGTAAATATCAAAATCCTGAAAAGTTTTTAGTTCCTATAATTTTTCACMAAATACATTTGTAAAACAGAATAGGTACTTATATTATTTAAAATATTTTATCTAGTTTTCCGATTAGTAAAATACTACTTCTCCTTTTCTTATTTTTCCAAACATTTTTCTAAAGCTAATAACTTCATAGTTCATTGTGGTTTCGATTATTTCCAGATCATAATAATTATTATTAATCCGTAATCGATAAGGACTATGTTAATTGAAACAGTTAAGTCTTCATTAATAATAATTTTTGAACGGATTTTACTTTAATGAAACGGAGAATGAGCTATTCACATGTAGATTTTTGGCAYGCAACTCCAAATTCAATGGAATTTAGGCCAAAAACAAGTCGCTAAACAAATTTAAATGTTTAAAAAAACACATGTTTTTTTTCAACACCATTAACAATACTGTGTGTATATTAAAATGCAAGATGTATACCTATTTGTTTAAAACAAAATCAATTCTTAACTCACCATCAATAAACCCTAAATGAAGTATCGTTCACTTTTTTTCCTGAATTATCTAAATAAAATTAGAAAACAGCATGAACATAATATTATTTCATGGAATACAACGACTTTTTATGAATAGTGAAAAAACTCAAGACCCCTGTACGATTTATAGTACATCTCATATAATATATAAACAGTGATCGATTCATAATTAATACTGACTAATAAATTGATTTATCCCTGAACAAATGTATGACTACATATATATAGGAGTTAACTCCATATAATTCGCTTACTCTATTTACATAAAAAAAAAATTAAAAACAAAAAGGTAGCTTTGGTATAAACATAAAAGAACGCAATAACAAACTATTATAATTGTATATAATATAACGTAACATATGACTTACAATTTTACAGAAAGCTATAAAAAAACCAACTCAAACCGCTATGTTTATGTAAGTCAAAACAATTTTGATAAATTGTCAGCATGTGTGTCGAGTTTACAAATATTAACAGAATACATTTTAGGAATACGGGGAAAAAAATTTRAACGAATGTGTAAATAAATTTGCCTATTCTGTTCGCCGTTCGTGTTTCMTAATAAAATAATAACACGTCCAAGAAAAATGTTATTACATATTATGTAAAATGTAATAAACGATTCTATTGGAAATTTACGAGCACAATAATTTTGATTTCTGTTTTACTCACAATTTTATTTTTTT